CCACCCTCCCGGGGTCCGGATTTTGGTCTCGCCCCAGCCCGCGCCGCAATTTTTTGATCGAAGAAACCGGGAAATTGGATTTGGACCGAGTTCTCTCCCCTCCCGGCGCGGGGAGGGGACGGCGGGAGGGAAGGAAACGCGCAGCCTCTCTCTCTTTTTGTCCTCGGGCGGCCACTTCCTCTTTTTTTTTTTATACCGGAATTCTTTGTTTCCTTTCCTGCGCTTTCGTGGGTCCTCGGGTCCCGGTGGCCGTCTCCCGGCGGCCCGCCACGGCGTCCGAGTGGGGCCCGGACGCGGCCCCGGGCGGGAGCGGATTTTTCTCCGGCCCGCCGCCGGGGCCTTCCGTCGGGCCCGCCGGCGTGCGGCGCCAAACCCGCGGCCCGAAAATTGCCCGCCGGTCTCGGTGGAGCGTTCCGGTGTTACGCAATGCCTCGTTTCGGCGCGGCACCCCTCGGATGCGGTAATGGTAGTGGCCCAAGGGAGGAAATTCCAAGAAAGTTAAAAAGCAGGGGAGAGACGGAGAGGCAGGAAGAAGAACGATAATAGCGCCACGCTGCCCGCGGGAGGTAAGGCGGATGCGTCGTCCTTAGAATCCGTTTCGTAACTCTTACTCGACTCTTCGAATTTCCCTTTCTGGCCGCTTTTTTCCGTCTGACGCCCGCGCGCACCCACCCTCCGTCTGTCGTCGTCGGCCCGTCCCTGTCGGGACGCTTTGGGCGGCGGGCCGGCCGAGCCCGGTCGCCCGGGGGTTAGAAAGCCGGAAACTGGCCACATCCGCGCCTGAGACGGAGTGTCCCTGTTGGGCCCGCCGGCCCGGCCCGTCTTTGCACCCCGACGGTCCTCCGATGCCGAGTTTCGTGGGATTGCGGAGTGACTTCCGCTTTAGTAACGATCGGAGGTTTCCCGACCGAGAAGGTTGGGGCCCGGATTGGGATATCTCTTTTTTTCTCCCTTCCGCGCCCCGCTCGTTCTTCCCCTACCCGGGGGAGAAGGGGATAAAAAACCCAGAACGACCGGCCGGGGACGGGAGGGGGTTTACGTGCCGGGTGCTTTTTACCGGGCCGGTCTAGCCCCGGGCGCCAGCTTGGGAACGCGTCGGAGAGTAACCCTGAGCTTGACCTTGAAGCCGGCCGCTTGACACAGTTTCCCGGTTCACCGCGGCACGCGAGGTCGTCGTCGTGTGACGCAACGTGTTACGTCTCGGCAGCCCCGCCTCCCGACTGCCCATTGGTCGGACGGCTAATCCTTTAAGACTGCCGGCCACCGGCAGTCGATCCGGCGCGGCCATTGGGTCCCCGACCCGTCCGCCGTCCAATGGGAAGAGGGAGAACCGCGGCGGGCGGCCCTTCCCATCCGGGCCGCGGAGAGGGGGAGGAAACGAGGAAGAGCGCGCGACCGAGTCGGCCACACGCCAAGCGGGCGGCACCCGCGACTGCCGAGCAAAGGATTGGTTCCCGATGCGGCGGAGCGGCCGGAACCGTCGACCTTCAGGTAGGTCGCCCCTTCTTTTCGCCCGCGGGCCCGGCCCGGCTGCGCCAGGGCGTCGCGGTTCCCCCGGTCGGACACCACACCGCGGCGGATCCGTCGCCCGTCTTCCGGAACCGGCGCGGGTTTCGACGGTGGCGGCCGGGAAGAGAGAAACGGCCGGAGCGCGTCGGGCCGCGGGCCGATTTTCGTTTTTTGTCCACGTAAGAGGGAAGGACGCGGTGGAAACGCCGTGTTCCGGCCGAGGATAAAGAGCGGCTTAGTTTTTTCGGGTTTCTAGGCCACAAAGGAGGAGGCTTCCCGTCCGTTTAGCTCGCGCTTCCGGCCTCCCATCACCCGGTGCCGGACGAGGAGGGGTGAGGCCCCTTCCCGTAACGGACTTTTTTTTTCTTTGTGTTCTCTGACGTCATTTTACAGCGCGCGTGAGTCACGTGCCCGGGGGAACGACGTCGGGAAAAAGAGTGGAGGAAAAAAAATGGCGTCTTTCCCCGTCTTTGTTTCCGCCGCCTCCCGACGGACTGGGGATTCTCCGGGCCCGAAGCTGGGCCAGCCGCGGGCCGAAAACAGCGGAAACCGCCGTCGGCTTCCGCTGTTTTCGGCCCGGAACCGGAAGAATTCGGAGAGGGAGGACTTGTCCGGCGTCGACCCGTTAACCGCTTCTTAATTGGTCGGAGGCAGAATTGGTTGTTGGCGCGATTGGGAGCAATGGTTATCGACTCGGACGAAGGGCAGTTTCAGAGTGGCGACACACCGAAAATTCGAGAATTTCACCGCGTGGCGCGAGAAAGGAGCGAAGAAATGCCCAGTTGGGTGCATCGGGCGGAAAGAAGAGAACGGGTGAGAGGTCGAATTCCTCTCTCTCCGGACCAGATCCTTCCCGCATTCTGTTATCCGGGCCGATTGGCCGTATTTCGGGCGGATAGATTTGTCGGCCACATCGGCCCGCATCTTTTCGTTTCGTTCCGAAAGGGAAACAAACCCGTCGTCCGGGCTCTGGACCATCTTTTGGCCCGCGTCGACCTTCGACCTCGTCGAATTCGGCTTCGGACTAGGGGAGAAGGCGCCTCGGACGTACCCGAAAGGAGGCGAATTCCGGGAGCAACGAATTTCTCCCGGGGGAAATTCCTAGGGAAAACGAACGGAGGGACCGAAAATCTCCGGTTAAAGGACGAAGGACGATTGCCTTCGGAGGATCTTTTCCCCGCAAAACCCGGGTTTTTTCTCTAGAATGACGCTTTCTACGCGCTTTCGATTCCTCCGAGACTGACGAGAGAAGGAAACCGTTCGTCTTTTCCTTTCCGTCCTCTTCCGTTTCCGTTTGTAATTCCGGTCGGAAGTAACTAAGGACGGACAGGTTGGTCTTTTCGCGTTTCTGTCGGCCAGGCGCCAGGCGCTTCCTCTACGAATTTTGCCGCTTTAAGTTCCGATAGGATCTGGCCCCGTCTTCCCTTCCTCTCCGAAAACCTCGAATTCTCTTCGGACGTCTCCTGTTCCGGCTACCGCCGACCGGAAGACGAATTCCGCGCCCGGGAGACGGAAGCGCGTGAAGGAACGAGCGGGATCGGGCCCGAACGGTCTCGGTTCCTCTATTCTTTTTCAGTCCACGGGCCCGTCTCCACTCCTGAGAAAAATCCGGAAGCGGTTTTGGGCAAGACGGGGGCGGAACCGTCTCTTTCCCGGGCCAAGACTCCGCCTTCTTCGACTTTCTTCTTCCGGACGGCACCCGAGATGGCTTAGATCTGGGACCGGGCGTCTCGCCACGCGCGGATAGAAATTAGGTCTCACTCCGAGGGAAAGGCGCGAAATATTTGGCGGGATAGAAAGGAGGGAAGGGAAGGAAGAAGCGCTTACAAAATTACGGGCGACGGGTGCGGGCGCTGGCTCGTTTCCTCGAGAAAAGGAGAGGTTTTCGTTCTTTATCCCTTCCGGCGGGCAGAAGAGACTGCCAAAAGTCGAGTAGAGAAACCCCAACCACCGGAACCGGAAGAGTAGACGAAAAAAAGGCGGCGGGTCGACGCTTTCACCTTCGTTTCGGAAATAAAATGGCGCGTTTTCGGCCCGGAGACCAATTCTTTTCGGCATTTACTCCTCTCGTCCTCTTACCGGTGGCTTTTTCCCTTCTTAATTCTTTCTCGTATCCCCGGTTTCGGAAGGACGTGTCGTTGCTTTCCTCCGTCCGTTTCCGAAGAGACGTCTCCTAACTTTCTCCGTATTTCCCGTCCGAATCCCAATTTTGGCCGTTTCTCGTCAGTCGATTTCCTCACGGATTCGCGTCCAACTCGGAACAGGAGGGGAAAGGAGAGCCTCCCCATCGACGGTGAAGTCGAAAGGAGGAGGCGGGCCTCTTTTATCTCCGCCGCCGGAAATGGCGGCGAGAATGGGCGGCGGAAGAAGGAAGTTTCGAGTCCTTCTTCTCTCCGGTGGAATTTCCGCTTCCGCCCATTCGTCGGCGCTCCGCTCTCCGTCCTAGTCCGCTTGCGGATTCCCTTTCCGGCCCGACGGCCTCGGGCCCGGGTGCCGGCAACCACGCCGGCTCGGATCTTCTTCCGCCTCCTTTCGGGCCCGCCCTCTCTCGTCTCCGACGAGAAAGAAACGAGAGACGGGGCAGACGCGGCGTCGACCGCGCGGATCGATACGTCGGACGGAGAACGCCGGCGGGTTTTTGGTTTTTTTCTCCGCCGAAAGAGGGCGCGGTCCGGAAGAGGTTCGAATCGGCCGGAGAAAATGGGAATTTCGGGCCCGGTCGTTCCCCGGCGAAAGGACCGGCCACCCACCCGGGAGCCGAGCGGGGCGGCGGCGGCGGCCACGGCCCGGTCCCCCGAAGGAGCCCCGCGGACGGGCGGCTCCTCCTCTTCGACGGCGCGGCGTATCGATCGCGGTCGACCCGGGTGTACGCGCGCCGCCGGAAAAATCCATATTTTAAACAAATATGGCGGCGGTAGGCGCGCGTCCTCCTCCCGGTCGCGTCCTCCGCTAGACGATCGCCATGATCCCGCGGTACGACCGGGTCGGGCCCGCCGCGGATTCGCAACTCGACGCGCGCAAAGATTCCTGCGGGTTTTCCACCCCCGTCGACTAACGCCCTTTCGTTTGTTTCTCGCAGCAGCCCGGTCCAGGTGTGGATGGTCGAGCTGGAGGCGGAACCCAACGTGAGTATTTTTTTCTCTCTCTTCTCTTGTCTGGGGCCGGGAGGAAACCCTCGGCCCCGGTCCGACGTTCGCAATCCGAAAACTTCCTTCGGGAGGCAGAAATCGCCGGCCTTAATACGCGTCCTCTCGATTATCCCGTCTTCTTTTCGGCAGGTGATACCGAGGCGCAATTACGGAAAGTCCTTGGAAAAGACGTTCTCGGTCACCGACGACGTCCTTTCGGGACGTCCCCGACGTTCGGAGTCGTTGGCACGCGCCAATTGCCGTCGGTAGCCAGACGTCGCCCGCCTAATTCCGTCGCTTCCGACCGGAATCCGGCCACATCCCGAATTCCGGGCTTAAACTTTCCGGCCGGCTCGGACCCGGTCGGAAAGCTTAGGCCCGGGACGCTGCCGAGAATGTTTGGTTCCGTGGCGGCCGGAATCTCGCCCGTCTCCAACGAAATTTCTGGAATTCTCGCCTATTGTGCGGGTCTTGGGAGAGAGAATCGCCCCGTTCTTTCGAGGGGGCGCCGTCGGTGGCCGGCGGCCGGATCCGATAAGAGAATTGTCTGGTGGAATTCGTCCCCCGCCCCCGGTATCGGCAGAGTAAACAATTAAGTCTAATCGTTGCCGGGTAAACACGTCTGGCGGCCGGTCCCGGGCTTCCGACCCCGCTCTCCGCTCCGCCGCCGGCCTCGGGCCCGCCGCCGCCGTTTCATCGGCGGGCCGAAGGAGGAAGGGTGTTTTTCCCTTCCGCCGCCCGCGGGCGGGTTTCCGCTTCCGATCGCCGTCTCCCCAGTTGTTTGTCGACCTCGTCCTCGTCAGACTTGGGTCACCTCGGTGGGTTGTTATGTTATCTGATGTTTACCGTCGTCGGGGGGACCCGGCGCGCCCCCCGTAACCGCCCCCGGTCTTTAGTACCGGGCGAGGATCCGGACCAGGTGCGCGGTGTGTCGACCCGGTGACCCCGAGGCCCATATTTTCTTCCTCGCCCCACCCAGGGGACGGAGGCCCGCGCCCCGGAGACCGGGCCACTCTCTCTCTGGACTCCGGTGAGTGTTCTTCTCTCCTTCGACCCCCGCACCTCCGGCGGAGGAATTCGCGCCCCGGGCTCTTATCGCCCGTCCGAAGGTCGACCCCACCGCCGCTCGCCCGGCGATTTCGTCACTTGTTTCTCGCCGCAAACCGCGGAGTCATCCGATTCGTGTCGAAGGCCGGAGGTGAGTCACCGTCACGCGCTCGCTTACTCCGCACGAATTTCGGCGCGAGCGCCGCCCGCTCGCCCGGGCCTTCCTCCGGGGGAGCGCGGGCGGCGGAGGCCCTAACGGCTGGTTTTGTGTGTCTTTGCAGGCTGAGAGCGGCTGTTGACCGATGATGAACGAAGACGATGGACCTGGCAACGGCACGAAGGCGGCGGCCTCTCCGATCACCGACAACGGCGACGCCGCCAACGGCAGCAGCAACGACAGCGCCTCCCCGTCGCACCGGGTGCCGTTGCCGGGTAACAAGCGGGTACAGGTGACGGGTGCAATTCTCGGACCGGAAGCAGTTGCGAGCAAAACCATGACGGGTGAACTACAGACGGGTCTTGCCATCGGCGGCACCTTCGGTCCCCCGGTGTCGGGGAGCGGAGAAACCAATAGTACAAATCTGGACGACGGAGTGAGTACCAGTTCCTGCAACAACGGCAACGGCGGCGAGAGCAAAAGCGAGGCCAAGGCGAAGAAGCAACAGGGTCAACCATCGAGGGACAAGATGTTCGTCTGCAATGTGTGCAATCGGTGTTTCGGGTACAAGCACGTTCTACAAAACCACGAACGTACGCACACGGGCGAGAAGCCTTTCGAATGTCCGGAGTGCCACAAGAGGTTCACGCGCGACCACCACCTCAAGACGCACATGAGACTCCACACGGGCGAGAAACCGTACGTCTGCGGCGCCTGCAAGAGACGCTTCGTCCAGGTGGCCAACTTGCGACGACACGTCCGAGTCCACACGGGAGAGAAGCCGTACGAGTGCAAGCTGTGTCCGTCCCGCTTCTCCGACAGCAACCAACTCAAAGCTCACATGCTGATCCACAAGGGGGAGAAGCCCTTCGAGTGTTCCAAGTGCCTGGGCAGATTCCGCAGGAGACACCACCTGATGCACCACAAGTGTCCCAGGGACGAGGCCAACATGGGCAAGCCGAGAAGGGGACGTCGACCCAAGGCCTACGACCGCCTGGACCAGCTTTCCTTCGGCGGGGCGGCCGCCCCCGGGGCCCGCCAGGCCGCGGCGGCGGAGGAGGAAGAAGAGGACAAGCCGCCCTCGGCCGAGCCGGAAGAGCCCTCGGAACCGGCGGCGCCCGCGGGCAAGAAGTCGCGCAGGAAGCCCAGCCACACCATACGTATCCTGACACCCCAGCAGCGAGAACTGTTTCTCCGCGACAAGGAGACCATGCAGACGCAGGCCCTGGACATGACCAAGCCCTCCTCCCCCGAGGGCCCTCCGGCGGCGCCCCGAACCTCCCGCTCGTCGTCCACCTTCGTGGACGGCGTCCTCGACCTCTCCAACTCCAGGAGCGACTCGGACGTGCAGGACGACGACTTGGTCCCCCGCAAGCTGTCCAGACTAAAGGCCGCTTCCGGCAACAAGTGGGACGACAGCACCGACGAGTCCGATCCGCCCGAACGTTTCCACGGCAACGGAGACGGACTGGACAGCGACGAGGACGGCCGAGACGGCAACGACAACGGAGCCTACGTTCCTTAGGCGCATCTAGTTCGTTCCTCTATTCAGGGATATACCACTTTGACCTCAGAGTTCGGTTATATAGTTGTAAGCTTATCGAAACTACCTCAGCAATTATTCGGTGATCGATACACTAGCAAGAAAAGTCGCAAGACCGCGGCCCCCTTGAGGGGGTCGTCGCGCGGGCGCGGATCCGCCGCCTCCCTCCTCCTTTTCGCCCGCTCCTCTCGCTCTCTCTCCCCCCCCCCGTCGTTCCTCGTCCCCCAAAGGCGGCGCCGGATCCCCGCCCGCGGCCTGGCCCGCCGCCGCCCGCCGCCGCCGCCGCGGCGCGGGCGGGGGCGCCCAGCCACATCGTTCCTGCGATTCGGAGACGCCGGCGCGGCCGCGTCGGCGGGAACGCGAGCGGCGGCGGCGCGGACGCCGGCGGAGCGCCTCCGCCCCCGGCCGCGGCGCCGCCCCGTCCTAAAATCAGAGTTCCTGTCCCGCTTGGCGGCCGGCCGGCCTCTCCCGGGTCGAAAGATTACTAAAAAAAAAAAACAAAACGTTCCTTTCTTCTCACCCACCGGAAGCAGGCAGGTGCCCTCCTTTTCCGAAACTAATTAGAATATATAAATATAAATATAAATATATATATATATAAATATATAAGAGAGAATTTTTGTTGAACGACCGACGTACCTCCTAACGTTTGCTATTTTTATCAGGACCACCGCTCCGTCACCCGGCCAAAGGTGGCATGTCGCCAGTCGCTCGCAAGAGGCTCGCAGGACCATCAAGTAGTTAGGCGTAGAGTGCATGTGTATGGAGTAGTTCTGTTAGCCGTGGTGTGTCTGTGATCTTTCCAGTCCGTTGGTACCTGTCGTCGTGTCCGTTGCTCGGCCGCGGCCGCAGTTTAGGCTAAGGTGTCCGGTGTTCTTGTCCACGTTGCTTACGTACGTGCGTTTCCCAGGGAGGAGGATGAACGGTCTTTGGTCGTTTTGCCGCGCCCTCTCTCGCCGCCGCTCTCCCGACTGGGTGTATTGTTACCGGGCCCGGCGGAGGGCGAGGGCCCGACACTCTCGATATATCAAAAAAAAAGTGCGTCCGAGCGTCGTCCTCGGTGCCAAAAGCAAAAGGTGCGTCGGGGAGTCAGTTCCTCCTCCCGACCGCAAAACAAGGGTGCGACTGCGCCCGACCAAAAGTCAAAGATTACGTCGCATTAATGGAATTTTGTTGATATTTGGAACATGGTTCTCTCGTCAGAGTAATATATTGTATCGTGTACAGGGAGAAGCGAGGAGCATGTTCCAGATGCAGAGAAGCTAAACTACGCATGTACATATTTTGATTTTAAGGGGGTCGGCGTCAGTCCCGGTCCCGTCTCTGTCTGTTTGTATTATAGGAGAATTATATAACCAGCAAAGGGGATGGTTGGTTCAGGGACGGGATGGAGCGACGCCGGCCTTCCTCCGTTGATTAACGTAGTGGATTCGAGGTAATTTATGTATCGTGCCGTTACGAAGTAGAAGCCGGAAGGGGTTCGACTTTTATTTTGCATTTCGAGCACCGACCTCCGCATCCGCCTCTCGACGTCGTCGGGCCCGCTTCCCCCGCCCTACCTGTCCCTCTCCCCTTTTTTTCGCCGTCTCCGAAGCGTCGTGGACTCGTCCCGCATCGATCGCCTCTTTCGGCCCCCACCCTCCCCGCCGCGTCACCAATATTCCAACCGAAAAAAGGGACCGAGCGGCGTCCTCCTCGGCGTTCGATATTCGCCGCCGTCGGGGGCCCCGCTCGGAAACGCCAATTAAAAAGCGCTCCGATCGGAGCGGTCGCCCCGGCAACGGATCCTCCCGGCTCCCGCGGGGCCAAAAAAGACAAAGGCGCAGGTCCGGATCGAAGACGGCGGCGTTGTTTACTCCTTCCGTCTTGGAGGCCGACCGACGGCCTTCGACCTTGACCCAGTGTCCCTCCCGCCGAAAAACACAAACAACTTCTTACCTAACGGCGACTCGTCCCGCCGGCCATGCCCATTGTCCGGCGGCCGGTCGTAAACAACTCCCTCCCTCCCTCCCCTCTCACCGCCAAAACACCCTTTTCGGCCGGAAGACGCCGCTTTTCTCGCCTATCCGCGGATAGAGACGAGTCCTCCGCCTCCCCGCATCTGGCAGTTGCGCCTATTCTTCTGCCGCATGAAAGAAACGTCAAAAAAAAGAGCCGGTGGGTCTTTCACTCGCTCCAAATATGGCTTTCGATTACGTCATGCACAGGATGTAGTTCTCTTTCAGCTCTCCCCTCTCTTTTTTTTCCACCGGGTCCTCCCGGGGCCGCCTCCCCGACCCCGCGCGGGGGGACCGCTTTCGCTCTCCCCTCTCCCGACCATCTGCCCGTGGGCCTACGCTCGTTAGGGATTTTTTTTCCGTTCCCTTCCGCCCCCACCCGCTTCCGGGGGATCCCCGGGGGCGGGCGGGAACGGTTTTTTTCCATCCGTTTCCGACCCGCGTTTCGGGGACCGGCCGCCCGACCGACGGGCGACGGCGGTCCTCCGCTCCTCTCCGCGCCCGGCTTCCGGCCCGCCTCCCTCTACCTCGTTCTCAGATGTATTGTTGTTGTTAGTCCCGGGCCGGCGTCGACCGTGGCTTCCGCCGTCGTGGCGCATCGGATTCAACGCACAAAGGAGCCCGCGCTTCGACGGCGTGGCCGGACGCGCGTCGTTTCCGCAGTTTCCCTCCGGCGGCGGGCCCCGGCCGGGCCGGAAGCGCGGGGGCCACCTGGGACGACGTCGGCGGATGCGGAGGTGAGAAATCAACTCAGGCTACCGTAACTCAGGTATTTTCGTCGTTTTTAATTGTTCCTTTATCTGTGTGTGTGTGGTGACGGTAAAGCGGGGTTAGAGGAATCTTGCCGTTGGATTCGTTTCGTTCTTTTCACCGGTTAGCCGGGGACGCGCGCACCGTTCCGCACCGGGCTCCGGCCGCCCGCCCGAGGTCCGCGCCGCCCGCGGTCCGGGCACCGCTTCGACCTTTGCTCAAACGCCCGGTTTCGGACGCGGGTCTTCGACTGACATTCCACGGTACGGCGCGGGCGCGCGCCGACCTGGCGGCGCGGGCCGGAGCCTCCGCATATGGCAGTAGCGTCCCTCTTTTAGTCGCCTGGGCCCGCCCGGGCGCGGGCCGCAGGAAAAGCTCGGGCGTCGGTGCGCACATGGTCTTTAGTTGGTTTATTGAGTTCATTATCTACCTCAGACTCGTGTCGATTATAGCCAGCGGTCTCGTAACTATAGTTAATGTAATTGTAACGGTAAATAATTATTATTATTATTATTATTATATTATTATTATTATTAATTATTATTAATTATTATCGATTGAATTATTGTCTCGTCACGGGTAGGTAACACTTCTCCCTCTGTCTCTCTCTTCTCTCTCTGTCGTCTGCGTCTCTTTTCTTGCGCGTTTCGCTCTTCTCGGACACAAGCGACGCTCCCGTCGTCGCCCGCTCGCGCGACGGGAGGCGCGGCGCCGTCTTAGCTTTCCCGTTTTCTGGCCGCCTTTCGGCGCGCGGCGCCCCCCGGCGGAGGGCCGCCGCATCCGAACAGACGAACGGTATCGACTCGCGGACGAGGAAAAACCGAGTGCCTCAAAGTAAGCCACGAGGAATCTTTTCCCAACGCCTACCCCCTGGCGGTTAGAATTAAAACAGTCAGACCGGCCCGCGGCGGGTCTTCGACCGGCCGCGGGCTGCCCAAGTGCCTCTAGGGCGGGCCGGGGCCCGCCCCCGTCTTTTTTATACGCCGTGAAACCCACCCGCCGACGCCGACGCCCTCTCTCGTATCCTCACCGCAGAAGCCGCTTTCTAACCGCTACGGGGAGGCTCTAAACCGCCGACGTCGCGTCCGTCGGCTCTCGCTCCCCGTATCGTCGCCCGTCCTCCGGCGGGAGGCGCGGGCCGCCGTCCGCAGGGGCGGAGGCCCGCGCGGCCCGGCCGGCGGCGTTCCTATAATCCGCACGTTCCTAAAGTAGCGGCGTTCCTCGGGCAGCGGACGGCAGCGGCCGTCGCCCTCCCCGCATCGTGTGCCAACGGTCCGTCGAGGTTTCGCCGACCCTATGCAACCGACGGCCCCGGGCCGTCGCGCTTCGAACTCCCACCACCTCCACCCCGTACGTCCGTCTGTCGGTCGACGTAAAACTTTCGTGTCACGTGACCTCGCTCAGATTCGAACGCCGTTCTTTATATACACTACGGACGGTGGACGTTTGTCGTTTTTTAAAGAGGCTTTTCCTAATCCGGTCGGTTCTCGTTCCGTGTCCTCTCTCGTCTTAGACGCGACGCGGCCCAAGTATCTCCACACGGGACAATGGCAGCGCAAACGCCTAAGACGACCGCGACCTTCTCCACTCTGTCATCTGATTGGATGTAAAGTCAGTTTCTCAACTTTTCACTTTTTCCGATGGAAATTTTTACCGTTGCCAAGGTGTATCGGCTCCATCGATAATAAATCTATGGTAGACACCGGCGTCTGGTCTCTCTTCTTCCTTCCCACACGCCGGGACACGCCCCCGCTCGCCGTCGGCCAGGGCGGGAGGGTGGGCGCCGACGGACCCGAGCGAAGGGGTGGCCCCGGTCCGCATTGGTCGACCGGCCCAGGCTCCTCCCGCCAACTCTTCGGTTCCCATCGATCCGCCTTTCCGGTTGGCACCGACCGCCTCCGCCAAGGGTGGATCCGCCCCCTTCTCTCTCCTTCGTCTTTCTTTCCTTCCGTAAGAAAGCGGGGGCGGAGGCTCGGGCCCCTTTAATCTCCTTCCGGTTAGTTCTCGGGCGCCGCCGTTTGGAAATTTCCCGCGGAAAACGATGGGAAACCTCCGTGTCTCTGCCTTTCGTTAACGCGTGGTTTTTCTAATTTCTGGCCAGGCTTCGGAGAAGACGGAAGATTTCCAAGTCGACTCGGACTGGTGACGAATTTCCCGCCGACGGATGCCGAAGTATCGTCGTCGTGTCCGGCCGCGCGGGCCGAATCCCGGACTCGGATTGGCCAGTCTGGTCGGACGCGACCTTGTATTGGCTCCATATCGTACGTTTGGCATTGGCAAAACGCTTACCGGGAAACGGAAGAAATGGGCAATTAGTTTCTCGCGGTCCGGGGGAAAGGCGGCGCTTTCGTTTTCCTTAAAATTAGCCGGGTCGAAGCCGAAGTTTTAAAGGCGAAAACGCGTAGGCGCCGCTTTCCCGTAAGCCTAGAAGTTCGACCGTAGCGTTTGAAACGTCGAGCGCGATTCCACCCACTATCCAGCGCCATTGTCGAACTTCTAGGCTTACGGGAAAGCGG